TATTTTTTCCTATTATATAACATTTTTATTAAATTTTATATTATATATTTTTTATTTTTTAAGTAAAACTTAAGAAGTAAGTCCTTAACAAGTCAATAACCATTTTTAATTAAGTATTTTCTAAACATATTAAGTCCTTAACAAGTCCAAAATTTTGATTATGTATTTTCTAAACATATTATGTCCTTAACAAGTCCAAAACTCACCATATATAGCATTTTCTAAATATATTAACATGAAAAATTAACATAAACACATCATATAATATGTTCTAAGGATATTAAGCATTTTTTAAACATGTCTAAGCATTTTCCTTAATAGTTAAATACTTAATAATTAAGTGATTATTAACATGAAAAATTAACATAAACACATCATTTAACATTTCTAAACATATTAAGCAGTTTCTAAACATATCTAAGCATTTCCTTAACAATTAAGTTCTTATTAACATGAAACTATAATTATCTAATCTTCACAAAGTACCTTCAAATTAAGCATATTAACACAAATCACTAGATTTTAAGGAAAAATTAGAACCAGGGAAAGAGGTAGCACGTGACAGTCGGTAGTTTACAGGTGGTCGGAGGTGGAAGTCAGTGACCCGAGGGCTGAGAAAGGGTTGATGTTGGTGGTCTTCATTTTCTAACAACACATGTGTTTGATGTGGATCTCAAACAATGGAAAACTGGCTTCAATACTCTACGTCGTCATCAGAAAATCGAAAGGGAAGAAATCTCTAGTGAGGGTATAAATCGCCGGCGAGGGAGAAACGCCAGTGGTAGGTAAGATGTTGAGGCTAGCTGGTGCTCGGTGGTTGTTTTTGTCGGATAATTAAAGTCTCTTTAGAAGGAAGGTTTGCAGAGAGAAAAAGAGTTGGAGAAGCTAGTAGAACTCTTTATTTGTGTTAGACATTAACGACGACAGAGGTACAATATTAGCGATGACTACTTAAGGGTATTAGCAACGACACCTCAAAGAAATGGAGAGAAGATTTTGAGGGTTTTTTTTTCAAGGGATTTAGTTACGATAAATGTGTCACTAAAGGTGTCACGACTATTTCTTATTGATGCCATTAAACCCTACCCGTTGGATCAATGCATCGAACTAATGGCCCATATTGATTTATGTCATTGTCATATGGACCGTCAACATGAACCTTTAGCGATAAGGGATGCTTTAGTGGTGGCATCAGGCGTGTTCGGTCTTCGGTCTTCGGTCTGATGTCGCCGCTAAAGCCTCTGTTGTCGCTAAAGGAGGCATAGATAAGGTAAGATTTCTTGTTGTGTGACTATCTGGATTGTTCTTAGAACCAAAGATTCTTTTAACTTACATTATGGACGTACATTCCACTACTAGAAAACAGAGCAATAGCGACGGAAAAAAACTATCGGAAAAAGCAACGGATTTCCCATGGATTTCCGACAGACAAATTATTAGGATATTAGCGATGTTTTTACGACGGTTTGGCAACAGAATAAAATTGGTCGGTAATCAGTTATAGTATACCGACAAAAATCAGTTAAAATCAACTAAGGGACATTTCACTTAAGCGAGGGTTGTGCTAATGCTACATTGACTTACAACAAGAGGGCTCCCCATAACTGTGAACAAAGGCCGACAACACGAAGCATCGCCTCCAAGTTTTGGCTCTCTTGCCCCTGCTGCGAGTGGCAGATCTAGAACGAAATGTAACCGAGGTCCATTATTGATAAAAAAAAATACATACAAGTATAAAATTGTGAAATTTTTTTAAAAATATTTGGTTATTTTCAAAAAAATATCAATAGGGGCATTTGATGTAAAAATGGGTGCCAAAGAAGGGCTTTTTAGTAAAAACCAATTTTTTTAGGGTTTTATAGTACTAAATGTGATGGGACCCACCTCCAAGTGGGGCCATGCACCCCACTTAAAGTGGATGCCTCCGCCACTGCCCGCTGCCCTCGACGGAGCTAAAGGCATCAACGCTCTGACTTCTGGAATTCTTTGAGTACTGCTTAATTCTCTTTGTATTGCTTACAACACATGTGCGATTTTTATACCTTAATACGATTTTCCTATATGATTTGCTTTGTTTGCCTCATAGATGGAATTGAATGTTGAGATTCTTACATAATTTAATATTATATGTATGTATTCCCTTATGTATATAATTATGTTCTCATCTCTCCATTTGCATGACTACCAAATGTTCGATAAAATTCCCCAATGAGGGAAAATGGGTCAATGTGTGCTCATATGTGTATATAACATGTTTTGGTGTACCTATGTATACATATGTATAGATTCCATTATGAATCTGCTGGATTTTTTTTGAATTTTAGACTCGTTTATATTGTGAAATGTTAGTGGAGCGTGAGATTTAATTTAACCTAGGTCTTCTTTGATTTATAATTCTTTCATGCACAACAGAATATGATTCCTAAGAGAACGCACATAATTCCAAATCCTGTATAGATGTATACATAGGAATGATTTTCTGACTCATCTCTAACCAATATCAACTTCAAAGTTTCATTTAAGCTAAAACTACGGGCCATGGTAGCTTCTTTCTGACTAAATCACATAACCTATTCAACTTCTAATTTAGCTATTTATTTCACACCTTCTAAATCCTGTTTGTTGCCATGTCAGTAGATCTAACACTCATGTTTCTTCCTCATTTCGAATCTCTAATTATTTAGAAACTACAAAAATACAAAGTGCATTAGTGCAATGTGAGCCATTGGCTTCTAATTTGCTAGAATGACAGTACTAGATATTGAAAACAGAGCAAACTCTTAAAATCTTTTGATTCTACAAGATATTGATTTTCTCAGTAAGATCAATCTTAAATGTCTAGCGGGATATATTATGCCTAAGAAAAATCATTTTCTAGGTTTTCTTGCATTGAATGATAATGTCAAAATAGATAATATAGTTACTAAAAAGCTATTAACCTAGTGAGTTGTGTTACTCATTGATAGAACTAAGAATCCTTATTGATTTCTTCTCAACTTTTTTCTGTATCTACACCTTGTGCAACACTTTCCATTGTTAGTTGGGACTTCAAACTTTAAAACATCGGAATTTACTATATTACCCTTCTCTGGATTATCAAGAAATGTGGGTTCAATACGGTTCACTTCCATTTCATTTGGTTAATTGTTTATACTTTCATTATTATCCCCATTACTTTTGTTATTACCTGAGATAATACTAGATTATCACTTTCTGTTATGTACTCCTGTTAATATTTTAACTGTTAAATGCCTTTGAGCATTTCTTTTGTTAAAAATCTTTTATTAATCGGTTATATTACAGATGGTTCAAATAGTTTAATCAACAATTTCACTTATCACAAGTCAAATTTCAAAAGATTTCAAGCTTCAATTGAAAGTGCAGGACCATTTTGTAATTTATGCTAGAGTACATTTCCAATTCCTGTTTTGGTTGATTTCTATATTATCACAAAATAGCTTGTATTTATTACTACACAGATATAGGACACTGATTTATAACTTCTATATTGGTTTATATATAGTATGTTCTTATATAAATGTATGTACGTTGATTATATTGGTATATATATAGTATGTTCTTATATAAATGTATGTACGTTGATTATATTGGTAAAAAGGTAAATTTCATTGCTAATATGTATAAGATGTAAATTTTTTATTATGTAAATTATGTTTGCATTATGGATGCGTTCACTATATTATGATAAAACATAGTAAACTATGTTCCTATTATGTATATTGGTTTAATGAAGGATAAGTATGTTGCTATTTCCTTCTCTATTTTATACTAATTATATATGTTTGTTGGAACATATTTTAGGTAAATGAATTAGAGAACATGTTGGAAAAGGAAGTGAAGGAACATGAGCAAATACAAACCCGTCTTGATAGAGAGGTGAAGTTACGAGAGGACATGGAAAGCTGTCTTCATGGACAAATGAGTGAATTTTTGAAGCAATTCACTCGAAGCGGTAAACCACCCCATTATGTATGTTTATCCCATAGTATTGAAATAATTTGATATTTTAAAGGGTTAATCATGAGAAATTGCAACGTACTTTACACAAGTTCTCGATTATGGCATCATACATTCTGAAGTAGCAATCTACTTACATATAAGTTGTAATTGGGAATTATGGCAAAAGTACATTGCTATTATGAGTAAAAACTTAAAGTATGATGTATAATCGTGAAAAAATTAAAAATGGTTTCATATAAGTTATAATTATTTGAATGTACGTAAATATAATGAAGAATTTCAGTACAATACGTTGCTATTTTTCATCATTAAGTCTTTTTTATTCAAACTTGATGTGGAGGAATATCGACTTAAAATCACATTTTTTACGCATTATCAAAATTGCTACTTGTTAATATTATTCATTTTTATTTTTTTTATTCCCCTTCATTGTCAACATTGGAAGACATTTATGGTATTTGACAATATATAAATATATCTCTAGCCAACAACTCTGAATGACAATGATAGGTGTACAATCCACGAACTAATCAAGAAGGATACTCTCCATTGGTTGTTGAGGTCATGAGAATTATAAATGAAAATTTTGATGCCTTTTTAAAAAGTAGATCACTATTGCTTTTTAGTATTATGCATTAAATGTCGAATATCGATTGATATTCATGGATTTATTGTGTGTCGAATATTGAAACTTTTTTGCTTTTATATTTGTTGTCTTTAAAATATAGATTTAATGTATGTTTTAAGATTTTTCTATGTTGAATATGTAATTATTTTTAAATTTTTCATGAATTTATAATTTTTTTATAATACCAAAATTCGTCGCTAATCTGTCATAGAAAAACTGTCTGTAATCCGTTAGTGAGTTATTATGAGATTCCGTCGGTAATTCGTTAGTGAGTTATTCCGTCGGATGTGTTGCAAACATATTCCGTCAGTAATCCATTGCAAAAAATATTTTTGTCGGTGATCGATTACTCATTAACAACGGAAAAAAGTCGCTAAAATTTGTCATAGCTGCCGGAAATCCATTACAAACAATTAACGACAAGAATATACCAACGGATTTTGGTCTATTGCAAAGGCCTTTTAGCGACAGATACCGACAGTTTTGGCCGTGGGTAATGTTCTATTTTGTAGTAGCGTTCCAACTACTCTGTGGAGTGTTGGTAACAACACTACTACATCTTATTAAGGACTAAGACAAAGAAATACAACAACATACTTAGTAACCTTATTAATGTAGCATGAGCCACTTGAACAACTTTATTTGCTAGAAACGAGGGAACTAGATGGAGATGCTGTTTGGAACACCTTTCCCGGTAACACCAGGTTCAGAAAAAGGCTCGAGAAGCTTGTATGGAAGCACCCCCGCACCACTACGGTTCCTTAAGTTGTGATCGGCGTTCCTTGAATTTATGATGCCTTCCATCTCAAGAATTCTTTGACGAAACTCTTCACATGCGGCCTTTATAGCTGGCTCCACCTCAAATGGCCCCTCTACATTTTTACCGATGTACTCCTCATCCGAGGAATGAGCTGATAAAACATTTAGAATTGCCATGACTTTGGTAGCTTGCGATTTGGAAGGGAAGCATTTCAACAACACAGCCTCAGGCCGGTCTAGGAATGCCTGCCACTCTTTATCTGTTGGGTCATCGTTAGGCATCTTGGTTCTAGCGATGGTTGGCCGGTTTGGGAAATAACCAGAATACTCATATTGTCCGAAGTTCACAGCTGAATGTTGGCCAGACGCAACCCATATGATAGTTGATACAATTCCAATCAAATCATCTTGGGTTTTGAGTTGTGGCCACCATGGTTCATCTTTCTTGTCTCCATGCCCAACGGTTCGAATCTCATGCCACCATGCTTGAAGCTCTTCATCAGATGCTACGAGACGTTCTTGTGGGTAGTAGTTGTTGACAAAAGACGTAACCCACTGTTTGATGGCATCCCAAAGGAGCAGACCGTCGTTTGCAAATGGATAGTCCTCGATTGTTAGCTTCAAACCATGTGGTTCAGTAGGATCTTCAACAGCCATACCCCTGTAAGATACAAAAAATATATAAAATAACTAGCCATAGAAATGCCATATAAAAAGTGAAAAAAGTCTAAAACCATATGCGTCGAAGTAAAGTTGCATAAATTGAGGGAACCTGCTTATCAAGTCAGCTGGAAGTGCCTCGTGATCAAAACGCCACAACAGATTATAGGCGTCAGAGGAAATTTGCATAGAATATCTTCCAGGAGAGAATGTCGACTCTATAACACCACCAGCATTAATGAGAGATTTTCGAGCTATGGCATTGATTTTCATGGTGTATCGTAAATGAGGGTGGAGTAATCGTGCAATAGGATGCATTGTGCTAAGATGACGGTGGGTAGCAATTATGTAAGGCTCAGTTGCGCAATGAGTTCTTAGCCTGCAACGCCAAATCAAATCATGATCAGCTCACCTATGAATTAATGAGACCTAGGGAAAAACACACAAACGTGTGTAATAATTAAAGTATTATGAGTAAAGGTGGACCAATATATTACCAATGGCTAACAAGCTGGTGAACACCAGAATCATGAGAAAGGACATGAGCCTTGGCTAGCTTCCAGAGCCATGAACCGGTTGCACCCAAAGAAGGTGTGTAGACATGCTTCCACTGTGGTTGCCATTCTGATGATGGACGAGTCAACTCTATGGCAACTGGGGTCAACGTTCCAGCAGGAGTAAGGAACATTAGAGTCCTTGAACCATATAGAGTTAGCCCTTCAAGTTCTCTTATTCTATTTACGTATGGCAATAGTAGATCATGGTAATCCAACACGAACAGTTTCTTTTGTTCCAAAGCCTGAAAGAACATGATTGATTTTTCAATATTACAACTTCACAATCGTAAATGTGGCGGATCCAAGATTGAAGTAAAGGAGTGTTATACATAAAAAAACTTATATAGGAATAAAACTCTAAATTTTTGTAGGAATCTGTAGGTTTCTACAGCAAAAATATGTTAAGGTGGGGCATTTTTGCAAGAATGGGTGCCACAAAGGGGGTTTTAGCAAAACTAAGATATTTAAAGGTTGTTTTTAGTAATATATTGGCGGGGGTCCACTGTTGGTGTTAATCAAAACCAAATGTTTTATTTAGGGGCATTTTAGTCTTATCTGTTTAGAGCATTTGATTTAGTCTTGTAGTAATTTTAGGGCATGGTTTGTTCCTAGTTTTTTATTTGCATGAGAAACAAGAAGAGTAACTTTTGCAGATACTTTTTCCTTCATATATTTCTCTATTTCGTTTGTGTGCATACTTATAGCAGTAGAGAGGGCCTGATTTCCAACATTCACTTCCAAGTGGGGTGCAAGGACCCCGCTCCTAACATGCTTGCTGCATCCCCCAACCGTCTCTAGTCTATAACATGACCTTTATATATTAAAAAGAGATGAAGTTAATTTCCATAAAGTAATCGGCCTTCTGTTTTTCTTTACCTCCTCAAAAGTCATGTAACCTTTAATCACTCGCTCTACAATCTCCTTGGTGATTGCTGATTCAGGTGGCCCGTAAACGTTAGGGTCCAATTTACTCATCATCGGCCATTCCTACACACACACACACAAACACACTCACTTTATGATTTTTCACCAATTATAAAATTATGTGTTCAAAAACATTCTTATTTATATATATACCGTAACCAACTGTATGCAGCAAGGATTGACACCAGCAAGCATTTCTCGACCGAATTCATCATCACGGAGCCAAAAGAACGTGTCCCCTGCAATGTATATAAAAAGCGGAACACAAATTTACGCCTTAATTAAAAAGAGCATGCATATATGCGAGCTTACTGCGGATAGTTTCAGGTGGTTCAAACTTGATAAGGTCATTCACGGCATCAGTAACCTGATGGATAAATCTTGGAAAAAGACTTGCAGCTTTTTTATCAGTACCACTAATCATAACTCCTTCGTTGAAAAGCAAGTCTATGTCCTCGAATAAAAAAAAGTCCTTGTATCCAAAAGTGCCTAGACGGGGTAAAACAGAAAGGAACAGTTCATACAAAGTCCTCGCTCCAAAGGATACCGACTTTATATCTGAAAAATCTTCATTGATTGGTACATAAAACGGGGCCTTAGTTCTTGTCTCCGTCAACGGATCTGTTATTCAAAATGTCACCCAAATTTTAAGCCAAAACAACAATCTCATATTGTTTAATTTCGTTAATTACATATATATACCTTCCCAGCAAATTTTCTGACCAGTACGGCAGCGCCTAGGGTATGGAAATTTCTTGCCACCGAGCACCGGCCTTGCTAAATCTAAGCTCTCGACGGGATCTCCAAGGTCGTCGTATACATCATAATCGTAAATCCTCTGGAAAGGTTTACGCTCTCCTTGGCCATTGCCTCGAAGCAACTCCAAATCTTTCTTTCTCAGAGACCTGAGGGCTGCTGGCGTTTGTGACGGCAGGTAACACTGCATGTACAAGTTACAAATAGATTAATTAATATATAAGAGGGGCTAGTTAGCTATTAATGGCTGCCACCATCTCGCGATGATCTGCTAGTAAACTGATATATATATATATATATATATAATATATATATATATATATATATATATATATATATATATATATATATATATATATATATAACCTTGTCAGCGAAGAAGATCCTCCTCTCGGGGTAATCGTGACTGGAATGAACCCAAGAATTACATGTGAAGTTAACTTTGTCAGATAGTTCAATTTTCTCTATATATATCTTGTTGAGGTTGTCATTCCCAACCAGCACAGCTCCGATCTCCCCAAAATCATCTGGGACTCCAAACTCAAAGTAGTATTCGCCATCCATGAAATCATAAGCTGCCTCCGTTCGCACCGGCTTACCTTTATTTGATGTATCAAAAATCAACACCAGTTTTTATACCATATTTCTAAAATAAAATTTATCTTATACTAATGTACAGAGTTAATTAAGTATTAGATTAAAACATAATATAAAGTAAGATATTAGATTAAAACGTAATATATAGTTATTAATTTAATTATAAGTATCTTATTTTGACTCTGAAATCACACAACAATATTACTTGACTGTAAAAGTAGGTATACGTACAATTAAGGTTTAGGGAAACGAACTCGAGTTTCAGCTTGTCCCATATAGGAAAATAATCGTCAATAATCTGGCCAGCTTTTAGTCTGTCTAGGTTGGATGATTTGAAGTGGATGACACCACTAACTTTGGTAGCAAGAGGAGGATTATAAATGGCGTTTATTTTACCAGCTGAGCTACGTCGAGTGGGTGTGGCATTGGATTTCTTTGTGGTCGTGGGCAGGAGGAGAGTGGTATGGGAGTAGGCGGAGGAGGAGGAGTGGTGGGTGGCGTCAACAGCTCTAGCTAAGAAGGGCTTTTGGAGTGTGAATAAGTTATGGAAAGAGTGAAATTGGTTGATCTGAGAATTCAACATGTTTTCTTTATATGTTTCCTTCTCACTTCTCTCTGCTCGCTCTTGGTCGTGTGATTTTAGGATTGCAAGGGCACGCTCTATTTATACTATTATTTTTTATTTTTTATTTTTTTTTCACTTTCTTTAAATGAATATTAATTTGGTGGAGAAAAAGAAAAAACAATGCTAGGTTTTGCTTATTATCTAATGCTAGTCATTTCAATATTTTGTAAGATTTTTTTCTTTGGGACGTTGTCAACTTGATGTTACTTTCATCATTAAATAATGGGCATAGAAGCTTTTGTCCGCATAAACCCAATAATATTCTTTAATTTGTGGGTGTTAAAAGATCCTGAATTTGATCTTAAAAATCTTATGATTTTAAGACTTATAAGAAAAACAAAATTTCGATCTCACTAGGATCTATCTGAAGCAAGATTTATAATAGGATCTTACACTACAAGAATAACAATCATTGGCGGAAATGCTTTTAGCGGCGATAGCCACCTTTAATGGAAAGCCGACAACATATAGCTTTCACGTTGTATGTTGCCGCTAAAAGTGGTTGTCGTCGCTAATAATTGTTAATCCTCGATCTGTGTCAATGTGCCATATTAAACCCCCACCGTCGATTTTGTTCCCAATCCAACGGTTGATAATAGAAGTCATTCATCGCAATAGTGGCAACACCATTAACGGCAATGCCTGTCGCCGCTGATGTTCGAAAAAAAGGACCGTGAGAATTTCCCTCTATAAGGTGTCGTTGCTAATTGCTTCGTGTCACTACTAATACCCGTCACCGCTAATGCCTTGTCGGGATATACACACCAAAACTCACTGAACACTTTTCCTCTTAATCTGTATGGTTTTTGTCTGTAGAAATAATTTTGGGACGAAGGAAGTATCTGTATAATATGTTGATTTTTGTATGTATTCTTTGAATTTGGATGTGTACTATTTGTGTATGTGTATGTGTATGACTTTGTGTATATATGATATGTATTTGTATGTATATGATTGTAACATCCCAAAAATTATAAGGTAAAAGTTTCATTTTTAATTCAACCATTAAAACACCATTTAGAGTTACCAATCATTCAAAATTATAATAATGTAAAAACATTTATCAGAGTACAAACTCAGAAATCATAAGGTTACGGAAACATGGGTGGATGAAGTGTAGTCATGTCGGACCCTTCTCATTTGTACCGGAAAGTACCTAAAACATAAACTGAAAACCGTAAGTACAAAGCTTAGTGAGCTCCCCCAAAATACCACATAGCATACAAAAATATAGTTAAGCATATATGGGTGCTTGCATTCCCCTTTAGTCTCTTTCAACCGGATACTGTCAAACATATCTGGGTGTTTGCATTCTCCTGCGGTCTATTTCAACCGGATATTGTCAAACATGTCTGGGTGCTTGCATTCCCCTTCGGTCTATTTCAACCGGATACCGGGTCTATTTCACCCCTACCCCTACCATATAATATCATAACTAAATGATCACAGAAACATCAAACAATTACAGGCATACCAGACAATTATCATAAAGATAATCATCTTACAACAAGCATAAACTAGTGGGCAGACATTGGTTTCTTTGACCCACGGATACAGTGAAGGAAACTCACCTCAAGATGCTGAATCTCTCAGATAAAATCTCGATCTGCTGATCCGAAAAAATCCCCGCTCACTAGCATTATCAAATAACATCCAATTAATAATTGGATCTCGACCTATAATCAAGAATCTAAATTACTTGTCCAATGACCAGGGTATAAGACCATTTAACCCTTTTCTTACTTAGCCCAAAACCAAGGCCCAATACATTTGCTCAAAGAGCCTAATTTCCTAAACGGCATCCCAAGGCCCAATATGGCCCAACTTCCTAATTGGGGCCAAAAACCATCCTTGGCCTAATTCCAAGAAAGCCCATATTCTATCCATGGTCCAAAGTCAGAAGCCCAATGGCCCATCAAGGCCCAAAATAGATGCCCTAGAAAGTACGTCCTGCATACCAGTAACGTACGCCCCGCGTACTCGCCTCTGAAGCACCACATACATGTCTCCAATGCATGAAACTCAGATTACGCCGAGCGTACCCTTTTACGTATGCCCAACGTACTCATCAGAGGTTCAAAGGTCCATAATAAGCTCTTAATGGTTAAGACAAAAGCATCCAAACACTTATCTTAACCCTAAATGACGTCTTAAACCATAAAGTCGAAACCTTTAAGCCCTTGCATGGCTAAAGAGGGCTAAATCTCTAAAATCCTTACTTTCACAACACTCAAAACCACTTAACTCTTGTATGGTTCTAAGGAAACAATTAAGCAGACATTTTTATGACTCATATCACTTTAACACCTCAGAAAGGACAACTAATATGCTTTGGAGTACTCTATACTCACAAAGATCCAAACTTTGAGACCAAAGCTTATGAAATAATGCCATAACAAGATCTAAGAATAGAGTTGTCAAGTTTGAAGCTTTATACCTCCATAAGGTAGATCAAGATGCACAAAGCCTGGATCCACAAGCTTAAAGCAATCCCACACTTCTCCAAGATGTTCCTCCTTCTTCAATGAGCACCAAAATGCATGAAATACCACCAAAAGCTCAAGAACCACACCAAATGGGGGCAAGGGTTTCATTTCTAGGGTTTAATGGGATGGAGGCTGAAGATAAGAGGGTTTGGTGATGAGTTAAGGAGCTTAAATAGGGCCCAAGACCCTAAATTAGGGTTTGGGTCTGACTGGAGTACGCCATGCGTACTACCAGTACACCCAACATACTCCATGTAACATCCCATTTTAAGGAGAGTAATTAAATAATAATTCAGGAACCCCGGGAAGTAATTATTGTTATTATTATTTTATAGTATTAGAGCTCAAAAATCAAATAATAAATATTGAGATATTAGTTTCGGGGATTAAAGAATGATATTGGATTTAATTTAAAAGGAAATGAGGTGGATGGGCTGGTTATGTCATAGTTAAGATATTGGGGACTCTTTGGTAGTTTATGGGACTTAACTTGTAAGGGATTTCCATGGATTGGGTTGAAAAGGTAAAATTTTGGATTATTTTGAAAGAATTATGGGGAGGAGGGGCCATTTTGGTTATTATGGGATACTTTTCATATGGGGTTCGGGATATTTAAATGTAATATACCAGTCACCCTCAAAACCTAACCCTAATTATTTGTTGCGGCCGTCACCTTCCACGCCTCCTTTCCCTCCAGCCGCCACCACTTGACACCCTTGATGTTCCGATCTATCATGAGCTCCGACGGCATCCACTCGACTGGAGACGCCGAACACCGATGGGGGTTGCGGGTGACCTTCGGGTGTTGCCGGATTCTCACCTCCCGCCGCTGTCGCATCATTTATATGAAGGTCGGAGTGCCACCGCCGCTCCAAACGTTATCGAGGATTCCCCGACGAAGCTGGGTGCGCCGCTGCCACCTCTCCGTTATCCTTCTATCTTCTTCTTCTCTCTTTTCTGCCACCGTTCACAGTCACTCTCGGCTGTTGGCAGTACCATTCCGATTACCGTTCGCCTTGTAACTCGTCACACACCAGCCGCCGCCGCCTGCTTCCGGTTGCTTGTGTGGAGGGTGTCGCCGACAACCGCTGCTGCTGGTCGTTTCCCTTGATGTCGCCGCCACCGTGAGCCGCCTGGGTGGCTGGAGTGTATTCTAAATCGGATGTGCGTGTTGCAGCTGTGTCTCGCAAATTATTGGTGCCTCGGGTTGCTGCTATCGGAGAAAAATCAAGGAAAAACCACCATGGCCGCCGGCCATGGTGGCTGCCGCCTCAAGACCGCCATTGAGGGTGTGTATGTTTCTATGTGTGTGTAATTAGTATGTGTGTTAGTTTTATGTGAGTGTGTGTGTGTGTGTTGAATATTATTGTAAGTTGTAATAGTGCGGGATTAATGAAAGAAAAGCTTGAAACTGCCACCGTGAGGTGGTGGTTGCCGCCACCGGCCGCCGTGTCGGGTGGCGGTGTGTTTTGTTTGCGTTTGGACCTCGTTTGAGGGATGTTTGGACAATGTGGGATCAATGAAACCCTAGTGGGCCCAAATTAACCCTAATGGGCCAATAAGGCCCAATGTGACCTTAAAGCCCAACCAATGGACTAATGGGCTAGTATTGGGATGGAAAACCCTAATTAGGGTTTGGAAAACCCTAAGGGCATAAAACCTTAATTGTTGAGAATTAATCGGGACACACTCACACGAGAATTAATTATTAAACCTAAAATAATAATTAATAATCATTGGCAAACTAGCTTAAGGCAATATTGGACTTAATGGATTAAGTCCTTAATGGGTTAAGTAAGAAACACTTAACCCTAATTGTCATTTTATGTGAAACCCTAATTTCACTTGGGTTTGGTATTGGGCCTTTCTATTGGGCTTTGGCTATTGGACTAGTAATGGGCTTTCCAAGAATAAGTAAATGGACTAAATAATTGTATGGGTGTTAGGATAAGGCCCATGTGAGGACTTGGGCCCAATTTGGAAAATTGGGCCATAGATAGGCTGTAATTGGGCCTTTATGATTATGTGATATTGGGCCATGGAAATTGGATTGGAATAATTGGGTGGGCCTTAAGGAAAGATCATGTAGAGGTCTGGGCCCAATTTGGAAAATTGGGCCATATGTTGGGATTTGGCCCATTACTTGACTTTTGGGCCTTTGGTGCGTGAGTTGGACTTTGGTTTTGGAACCCAATTATTAATTGGGTGTTGTTTGATGTTGACCGCTCGGGAATCTGTCAACCAGCAGCTGGAATTTTATCTGCAGGACTTCAGCAGTGCCAGGTGAGTTACCCTCACTGTACCAACAGGGTCTAAGACACCAAGGCCGGCCCTTTAGATTGTTATTCTGGTTATAGTATGCTTGTATGCTATTATTATCTGTTAAATCGGTATTCTGGTAGATAGAATGTTATATGTTATTATGATCTGTTAGGTCGGTAATCTGGTAGATAGAATGTTGTATGCTGTTATGATCTGTTAGATCAGTATCCTGGTAGATAGGATGTTATATGCTGCTATGATCT